ACAGCTTCCTGCTGGCTTGTGCCCCCAGAGAAGTGAATACAGGCAGGGTGTGGTGAGGCAGTATAGTCAAGTTGGAATAGTGACAAGTGCCTCTTTGTCATCCAGAGCAGTCATTGTTCATGATATAAACATCATCAGTGCCACCAGAGACTATTGGGGCTTAAAGCTTTATATTTGAATGCTTAAAATTTTAAAATCAAAGCATAATTAAAAATTATCTTAAGCATTAATAGCTGGACTAGGGTCTCATCATAGAATCATGAAATTATTTGGGCTGGAGGGACCTTTAAGTTATCTAGCCCAACCCCACTGCAATGGGCAGGGACATCTTCAACTAGATCAGGTTGCTCAGAGACATGCGCCAAGATTTTTCCTGAGCGATTTCAGACTCAGTGTGTATGGAAGATTTAATTTTCTCCTTTAAAGTACATTATATTACATTTATCTAGACTGAACTTTATGTGTCTTTTTACCACTGTTTGTGAAGCTCTTCTGCGACTCCTGTAGTTGACTATCACTTTTGATACTTTATTTTTCAAAATTGTAATAGCTATATGAAGTAGGATAGCTGCTGGTACAGTGCTCTAGAGGCTTCATCATGATCTCTGTTCTGAAAAGTGACTCTCTGAGTAGAGAATATATTTAGTCATAATAAAATAAAGAGTATGAACTGCATCTTACTAGGATGAGAAAACTTCAAGGCAGCTGAAATCTCCACAGCCCCTAGAATACCGTGCTTTTCTTTTCTCAAAGTATACACATAATAAACTGGGAATTAAAAAGCAACAGCTCTTAACACAGTAGCAGCAAAGGCTCTGAGAAAGTTTTGTATGTATTCCCACTGTTGAATTTGCTTACAGCAGCAAAGAACTTAAATCTCGGTGCCTGCAGTAGAAGAAACTGGTGTTATTAATTCATGGATGCCTGAGGGTTCTGAAGGCTTCTTAATTAGCAATGTAGAACATGTAAAGAAATACTTATACATTTTAAAAATCCCTCTATGTGAATCTCACCTGTGAGCTACAGGACAGCAAAATTTGATCCAGTCTCTATAATGCTTTAATCTGGATTAGGAAGAAACAGGGTTTATTTTATCTGTGTTTATCACAGATCTGCATCAATGGCGCAACCTGCAATAAACACCGTGTTTTTAAATAAGTTATAATATATGTCTCCAAGAAAGGATATATTCAATTGGAAAAATGTGTTTCACCGAGGGCTGTAATTAAATCAACAATTCAATATTGGCAAGGTTTCCAAATTCTACTGTATTTAAAGTAAGGAAATACTTTGAAAAAACAGGAATTAAGTAAAATTTTCCGTGATGAATTTTATTATTTACTTCATTTATTGTACAATTGGACAATGTCAGTTTATCATAATCTGTAACAAGATTTTAAAAGATAATTTGGAAGGGCAGAACTTCAGATTGATATCTAGAATCATAAAAAAAAAACCAACCCACAAACAAAAATGACAAAACCAAACCAAAACACAAAAAACTCCAACAAAACCTAACCCTTTGAAAGCAGTGAATGTGTCTGCAATTTTAGACTCCTTAAAAATCTTCCTTTAAAAATCTGGGTAATGAAACATTTTCACAAAATTGAATCATTGAGTCATTAGACCTCATAGCAACCTTCCAATATCTGAAGGGGGCCTATGAGGATGCTGGGGTGGGACTCTTCATTAGGGAGTGTAGTGATAGGACAAGGGATAACAGGTTAAAACTTGGGAAAAGTTTAGATATAAGGAAGAAGTTCTTTACTGTGAGGGTGGTGAGGCACTGGAATGAGTTGTCCAAGGAAGCTGTGAATGCTCCATCCCTGGCAGTGTTCAAGGCCAGGTTGGACAGAGCCGTGGGCGAGATGGTTTAGTGTGAGGTGTCTCTGCTCATGGCAGGGGGATTGGAACTTGATGGTCTTAAGGTCCTTTCCAACCATAACTATTCTATGATTCTATGAGTTTTAACTATTTTTCCTTTGAAACGGAAATAGTTGCAACATACTGAGCAGATTTCTTCTCCCTACTAAAATAATTCTATGAACCTTACTTAACTACTTGGGACACAGACATAAAAACTGTGAGAAGATTAATTTTGCCCACAGATTTGAAATAACCAATAATTAGTCTGGGCAACTCTTCAATGAATTAGGTCAGATGCTGACGATCACATTTCTGTGTTTCATTCTACCAGCAAAACAGAGATGAATATCCACCCATTGAGACTCAAATTTCCACTCATGATTATGAATTTATCTAGTAAATCAGCACTGCCTGTCTCATATTATGTTGTGTTCAGGCTGATGGTGGCATCTGGATACCTCTGAAGTCTAACTTCATCATAGAGATTTCCTAAATTCCACTAAGCATTAGACCATCACCAACATCTTCAGTGAGTTATCTAAAACAGCGGAAGAAAATGGTCTCCCTGCTCTATTATTCCTACAGTTCTGTTCAATAGTGGCTAGTACCACAATGAAGAATTTTGACTTGAAAATGCATGCTTTTAAATTTAATCTTCAAGCTTGAGTGCTGAAACTAATTCCTCAATATCTTAACCTTTTTTAGAGATTTAGTTTTTAGAGGGCTGCTACTCTATATTTTTAAGAAATCTAAGCCCCTCACACATGCTTTTCACTCCCTACCAAATATAGCTACTCTATTCTTATTCCAGATATGTCATTTAAGAGACTGGAATTATGTGAGATGAACCTGGGACTGAAAGGAAAAATACTGGAAAATTATTTCAGTATCTGTACCTTGTGAGTGTAAATACTGATGGTCAATGTTGTGTAAAACTCTTAAGAGCTGTGCTGGTAAACAGCTTTTAAAAAGCAGCTCTAAAACTGATCAGTTTGGCAATACAGACAGAATTGCCTTCAAATAAAAAGAGCACTATATTACGCTGTGTTGCTATCATAACACCTATGGCTACCACAGAACTACATATAAACACTTTAAGATATGCTTATTCATGGATGAATCACTGTAAATCAACAAACACACATATGTAGATAATCAGAAAGGCCGAATTGTTTGATATCAGAGTTCTTTCTGTTCAACTTTTGCAGTGCCCATCTTTGTGAAACTCTTGTATAACTCCGTAAGATCTCAAATATCCCCATAAATGTCAGGCTTTTACAGTCTTGGATGAATTCAACTCCATCTTGTGAAGCTGTTTCAGATAGATAGTGTGCAGGAAATAAAAGATTTGTATATATGCCCTCTGTCCATTTTTAGGTCACTGTAGTCCAGATGAATTTTTAGTACAGAAGCAAAGCCAACAGTGTCAATAGAAGGAATAAAAAGGTCTTATTTACATTTAATTTGCTACTAATTTAGCTGTCTGTTTTTTGTTACATACCTAAAACATAGAAGAACTGGATAGATTTGTATCTCAGAAGTTTGATCTGTATTATGCTACAAAAATATGAACTAATGCATCTCATTAGCCTAAATAGTCTAATTACAGTGGGGATAGAATTCATTTGCCAAACTAACATTCATAGAATTGGGCTGATGGCAACCTTATGAAGTTCAACAAAGCCAAGTGCAAGGTCCTACATCTGGGTTGGAGCGATCCTAGGCACAGCTACAGGCTGGGCAAAGAAGAGATTCAGATCAGCCCTGTGGAGAAGGACTTGGGGGTGCTGGTTGATGAGAAAATGAACATGAGCCGGCTTCAGTGTGCACTTGCAGCCCAGAAAGCCAACCGTATCCTGGGCTGCATCAAAAGGAGCATGACCAGCAGGACAAAGGAGGTGATCCTGCCTCTCTACTCTGCTCTCATGAGACCTCACTTGGAGTATTGTGTACAGTTCTGGTGTCCTGAACATAAAAAGAACATGGAGCTGTTGGAACAAGTCCAGAGGAGGGCCACGAGGATGATCAGGGGAAAGGAGCACCTCTTGTGTGAAGACAGGCTGAGAAAGTTGGGGCTGTTCAGCCTGGAGAAGAGAAGGCTGTGTGGAGATCTCATAGCAGCTTTGCAGTATCTGAAGGGAGGCTATAGAGATGCTGGGGAGGGACACTTCATTAGGGACTGTAGTGATAGGACAAGAGGTAACGGGTTAAAACTTAAACAGGGCAAGTTTAGATTGTATATAAGGAGGAAGTTCGTTACTGTGGGGGTGGTGAGGCACTGGAATGGGTTGTCCAGGGAAGTTGTGAATGCTCCATCCCTGGTGGTATTCAAGACCAGGTTGGATGAGGCCTTGGGTGATATGGTTTAGAGCAAGGTGTCCCTGCCCATGGCAGGGGGGTTGGAACTTGATTATCTTAAGTTCCTTTCCAACCCTAACTATTCTATGATTCTATGACTCTATGGTCAGTAGCAACTGGATTAGCTCCTGCGTACTAAATGGGGCCTGGAAAGACAAGCTGTGTTTTTTTCAGAGCATTTACTATGGTTTTGCAATTATATGAAACTGTCTTTTAAGCTTAACATGCACATTTACCAGGTTTAACTCTGAACTATTCAGTCTACTTTGGTCTTCTAATAGCTTTTTCTTTCCAAAGCAATAGCATGTTTGTACAACATCTTCTGTGAGGCGACTTTGGTGTGTGTCATGGGTAACAGATGAAGCCTGCTTGGGCTAATAATTTGTATTATAGTAATGAGAATTATTTTTCATTTTCAAGAAGAATATTAAGCATCAAAGGGTTTAAAGCAATTGTTTGAAACAATGCTTATTGTCATCAGAGGCTCGCTCAAGTCCTCTAAAACTTGATTTCTGAGACTTATAGCTGTTACTGAAAGTGAGAGGAAAATACCCCAACACATTGTCCGAACACTTCTCAGAAGATTTTGCAGTTTATAATTGTCTAGTCTGTTTCTAGTGAAAAGAAACAAGCAACACAAAGAAACAACAGCAAAACACTAAACTGGAGCAGTTTAACAACTTGGAATTTAACAACTTGATAAATATAGTAACTGAATTAATGGATTCCATTTACCAGATACTTTAATTTCCTATTATTTTTCTCACTCTCAATAGGTGATATATGCCCTGAACACTAAGAATGATGAACATGAAGCTAGTATACAGGCTCTGAGAGAGGCTCATGAAGAAGAAATTCAGCACATTCTTGCTGAGACAAGGGAAACAGTTCTCCAGTGTAAAAGCAAAGTTGAAGAAGAGCAGTTGCTAAGAAAACATATTCAGGCCCTTGAAATTGCAGTAGAACAGCACAAGAGACTAAAGGAAGAAGCCTTGTCAGAGTTAATGTTGTACAAGAAGCAGATGGAAGAGAGGGAGCCAAGAACACAAATTAAACAAGCGCAGGCAGTCCTTTCTGTGGACACAGTAGGTACCAATACAAACTTTGAAAACAAGCTTCTACATTTAAGTCAGGAATCTGATGAGCTGGTAAATGAATGCAAAGCATCCAGAAGAGAAAATATAGATGAAAAAGTGATTTTAGATGAAAAATACAGTGTGGAAGGACAACCTTTAATAAATGAGATGAAAAACCTGAAGAGTGAAAACCAGAGAGCAGGTGAAGAATATACTCAGAAAACGAGCAAACGGCAAGCCTCTTGTGAGAAAGAAAAAGAGACTTTGAAAAAGGCCACTCAACAATCTACGATAGAAACAAAGAATTGCCAACAAAGAGAAATGGATCAAAGGAAGAGCTCAGAGGCTGAGAAAGGTTTTTTGCTGCAGCAGGTAAAGAAGCTGGAGGCAGACCTCGAGGAGAAAAACCAGAAGATAAATGAGATGAAGAAGCGTTCCCAGAAACTGAAGGAGAGAATACAGGTAGGGTATAAGACTATGGTCTTTATCTCTTTCTATAAAAGTGCAAATTATCAGTTTTTAAACATTTGAGGGAGGAAGAGGTCTTTTAAATATATTGAGTCAAATGCATTGTAAGCACTACAACAATTTTAGAGGCTTAGGAGGAAGATAGTGCTGAGAGTTTTAAAAAAAGAGTTGGGATTATTAGTAACTCATTAGAACTCTTTGAACACTAGACTTTGTGTTCCTTGAGGGAGGAGTAAGTTAAAATACAAATTCATGTGTTGGCTGAACAGAGCTTTACCTTTCCTGCCCAGAAATGTGAAGAGAGCACCAAGCAGGCACTCATGCTAGCAATGGGTATTTACAGAGTACATTCTTCTTTTCCCTTGTGGCTGCCAGCAGCTTAGTACATGGATATGAACAAGGTTAGGTAAGAAACCTGAGCTGGCAGGTTAGGAATCAAATGTGTTGTATTTTATGACTCTTGAAATAGTGGCTAGTTCCAGATGATGTTTAATGAAGTGTCCTTTAAACCTGTGGAGTTCTATGCACAGAGCCATGAGGCTTTCACCATTAGTTCTAATCTTGCACTTGCCTGTCTACCCTCCCTGATGTATATCTCAGACATACACAGCTCTGCAGCCCCTTTCTGCTTAATTGCATTGCTGACACATCATGGGCAATCTGCCAACCAGTTGCATTTGGTACATAAGGTCAGGATGTGGGAGAGACACTGATGAACTGCACTGAAGCTGAAGCACCCAGCCATGCTCTGGGCTCAACAGTTCCACTTCCTTCTGATATTATTGGTCCTCTCCATCACATAAACTCACCTAGCAGACCTGTCCCCAGCCCTATGACAGCAATCTTGCATATTAGATAAGAAAACACCTTGAAGGTCTAGACTTGGAGTATTTCAGAATAACTCTTTCTTGATGGGAAAGATTTATTTCCTTTAGAGTCAGAGAACCCCAGAACTTTGTACGAAGTGTGGTTACGCCAGTCAGCTGTGTTCTTCCAAGACAACTCTGATTCTTTTCACCACCTGCCCTCACGTCTGTCAGTATCATTTTGCTGATGGTGCAGAGTTCTGTGCCTCTTCTTTGAGGATGTTCTTTGAGGAAGTTCAGCCTTCAGTTCAGTCACTGCCCTTTTGTTTCATGAGATCAGAGGGTGAATTGAATACACCTTCCTCAGTATTATTTAGACTCTATTCTCTTAATGTGTAGCTCTGCAGCAGAACAACCGCTAACTTCTGCAGGAAAGTGCAGAGGTTATAATGAATGGCAGAGATGCAGATAAGCCAGCTTGTTCTAAATTAAGTCAGGGAAATCGTATCTGTTTCAACACGGAAAAGTGTCTGGGCTCTGTAGAACTCAGAAATGACAGATGGAAAGAAGGAAAGTAAAATCCTCATTTCTTGGTGGTACTTGAAGTAACATTCAGCAGAAATGGAGACATGAAAAATTATGCACATGATTTATTCTTCCTATTTACCATGTAAGAAATGCAGTCTTTTAGGAATAAATAATGTAAAACATAGGAACTGAAAATAAGGTGGTGTCATTAGCAATTTAATTTCTAACTTCAGTATCAGCTGAATAAAACTGAAATACTTTCTGAAGGACATATGCTCACCTTGCACATTTCAGATCCCCTAAGTCCTTGGAATGAGTCTGATTTACATACTACCAGAGCATATTGCCTTGAATGTATAAAGAAAAGTTTCTCCTTTCTAAACTGGCTGTTTCTGATGCCACCATTAAACAGATTAATAGATTTTTCACACTTCCGTGAACAAGGGGCAGACTGGGAAACAGAAACATTTCTCTAATCACTAGTACGTCTGATCATTAGTAAAGACTAACAAGAAATGCTATTATAAGGCTTAAAAGACAAAAGGACTCATGTTTAAGCAAGGTGAATTTTCTGTTTTCTTCTCAGTGTATCCCAAGAGGTTTGAGGCCTTTAGATGATAGGCACCACATTAGTGCACTTTGTTATTATTATTGCTGTGGAAGAGAGAATACAAAGGATGACAAGTCATTAAGTCTGATCTGTTCTGGCTAGTTTTGGAAGAATTTTGGCATATGCTGGAGGTAAAAGAAACGAGTTTAAGTTTTCAACTATAAAGAGTGCTAAACACAGGTTTGTTTTAATGCATAAGGTTTTACTCAATGTTCATACAGGAGCAAATGACAATTTTGTCTGAATGGATATTGCATTATTATATTGGGCATGTAGAAACTGAGACTAGAACATGCAGAAATAAATCATTAAATATGGTTCAATTTTTTGCCTGTATTTATGGACAGATAATTCCCAGCCAAGTCTGTAGGATCTGATATTTCTGGTTTGAGGCATCTTCATTATGTTACAAACCATTGTACTTCAGCAACTGAAAAAACCCCTACCAACTAATATTCATTAACTTTTGGCATGAGTTCTCATGAAATTAATGAAAGCATATCCTGTTCCAAGTTTAGGCTAATCACTTGAAAGATGTCTGACATAATTCTTGATGAGTGTTCACTTTACAATGATGCCTACTACATCTGAGGGAATGGCTTCACATTACAAACATTCTGGCAGCAGAGACAGTTTAAGGGTATGGAAGACGAAAAATGCATTTGAACCAGCTCTGCAGGTGAAAAATTTATATTGTGGAACTACACTGAGAGAAAAAATGACCAGTTCAGAGGACAAAAAAAGAAACATATTTAATAAAAATAGAAGTAATGTCATGGATATTTTAGGATTTGGAAGTGTAGCTTAAGGGAACACATGAAATTCTGGAATCAGAAGGCAGAGTGGAACAACTGGAGGAAGATCTAAGTGTAGTCAAGGAAAGAGATCTACTTCAAGAGAAGGAAATCCTGCAAAAAGCAGGTAAGACTGTTGTTAATGTCATACTGAAGTATTTGTCAGTAGTTGCTCACATTGGAAAGTCTGCAAGTTATTTGTGCTATTTGAAATGTAAATTTTGATATCACAGGAGATACAGAAACAATGTTGAAATCCCAAAGTGAAGCTGTTAATACAGTAGATGAACTGAAACATCAAATAACAGCAAATGGCTTGTGCAGAGGCCAGAACATGAGCTGCTCTGAAGATGTGCAAGAGCTTAAACAGGTGGTTTGCTCTCAACTTTTCAAAGGCACGGCATGCCAAAAGTACTGAAATCAGTATCATCTTTCTGTAATGGCTTTTGGGTTATTCTACAGCATTCAGTCCTCTAAGATTCCCAGATCTCTGACCTCATCCAGTGGAACACTGGCTTCTGTTTATAACCTGAACTAAATGAGTAAATGAGTTGCTGCAGTGATAGTGAAGAAACTACTGACGTCCTTGAGCTAGACCAGGGCAGAGTGTTCAGCTGCTTCTGTACCAACAGAATTTCTCTGTTGAGGTCAAGTTGGAATGCTGATTCAGTTTCTTTAACTACAGAAAACAGTTCTTCTGACAAGCTATGCAGGAATAATGCAGGAATAAACTCAGTTCAATGAGGAACGTATGTGTCCTGAGAGTTCCCTTTGTATAATGTCTCCCCTTAAACAATTGTCCAGCCCCAAATCTTTTCTGTATTTTTTAGTTCTCCTATAATACTGTTATGTTAGCATTCTGGAAAATTGGACCTGACATCAGAGACATAAGAAAAAACAAATTGCCCTTTGTACTTTTTCACAGAACTGAGGTTGTCCTTGAGGAAGCCTGCGAGGTTGGAAGTGGGTTACGCACCCAACTCAAACCAGAGCAGCAAAAATAAAACCCATTCCTAGTCTGCAGAAGAGGCATACAGGACTGAATCACTACAGTTCTACATTGCTAACTAAAATAAAGCCAGTATTTTTCAGTGGACTATGTCTACCTAAATAGCATATTCACTACAAAATAGACTAGTGTGACCACAGAATTCTACCCTGGTTTTGTCATGTTATATAGTTAGTGTGTTTTATAGACTATGGAAACTGTAGCCACTTAAAAAAAGGATATGAATAAAAGGCACAGAGAACTTGCCTTGTAAAGGCAAACATGTGTCCTATAAGGAAAAGATTTGTCTGAAGGAATAGCTGTCAAAAGGGCTGGAAGATCTTGTAATGAAGCATGCAAAGGAAATAAAGCTAGTCTAAAACTTCATGGAAGCTGAAAGAAAAAAAATGCAGAAGGTAGGAATGGTCTTCTATTTATAGATGCTCTAATTCATCTGCTTTTAATCTTATTGGTCACAGTGACATCATTTGAATTATCCGTACTGGAGGCACTTTGAATTAACATAAAATGCAAGGATTTTCTTGCTACAGTCTTACTGGGGTGGGGGTGGGGGGAGGAGGAAAAGGAAAGTCAAACTGGTGTATTTCCATGAAAAACTTCACAGGCAGGAAGGTGAATTTATCCTTGATGTGATGAACTGCCTTCTTAGCAACACTTATCCTTGCATGCTTTGCTTCCTGCAGACATGCGGCCATGCAGGTCTCTGGCTGCAGCGAATGCCTGAGCCTGGCACTTGTATTGGAGGGAGCCAGTGACACCGCTTGTGTGCAGTGTGAGCGAATAAATGATCTGCTCAGGCAGGTGGTTGAACTGAGGGAGGAGGTAGAAGGTTGAGAGCCATCAGAGAATGCAAAAGTGAAATAGATTGGTGGAGCCACACCCTAAGGCAAGGGCAGAGGGAAGTGGTTGAACAAGTGCTGGATCCCCTTCCCTCCTACCATCAAATAGAAGGAGTGAACTTAAGGGACAGGGAGGTATGGAGGGAGGTCCCTCCTTTGGGAGGTAAGTGAAAACCCTCGCAATCCCTTCCTCCCTCCCAGTTGCCCTTGAATAACAGGTATGAGGTCTTGGAACTACAGGGCCAGGTAAATGGAGATGAAGGGGTAGATCTATCTAGTGAGTCTCCTAGGGCTTGTCACTCACCCTCATGCCTTAGAACTTCTTCAACCCAGAAGAAAAGAAGAGTAATTGTGGTGGGTGACTCCCTTCTGAGGGGAACAGAAGGGCCCATTTGTCGATCAGATCCA